GGCGCGTAGTGATAAAGATAAATAAGGGTTGTTTGTAGAGATGGAAGAATTATTGTGAGGTGAAGGAGGGATTCAATCGCCCACAAAGATGATCTCAAGTGCTGATAGAGGTATGAGTGTGATTGTCACCTGTTGGCTGCTCACATTGTGAAAGGATAGTTTTTATTAAGGGACCTGGAAAGGAAGCTGAATTAGTGATTGCCTTCACAACCTGGTAGTGTGACCTCAGACCAAAAGGGAATGTTTTCGGTGTGCTAGCTCTGCACTTCAAAAACATCTTGCCAACAAAGATAGAGATTTGTGTGATAATTAAGGTGTGACAGTTTCTAGATTGACTTTTCCTAACATCATTCTTCCGTTGTGAGAAGGTAGAATCTGTGTAGATACTGCACTCACATCTCCATGAAGTTATTAGTACAGCTTTACCCTTAGATCTTAAGTTGCTGCTTTTATTCTTACCGATCTTCAAACGACCTACCTAAAATGACAGGACCTAAAGAAACATATGTTTCAGCCAATAAAACTCGGCTAATTTATCACAATAGGCAAGCCAGACGACCACGTCAAGATAATAGCTACGGTCAGGATAATCTGCAGTAAAACTTTGAAAAACCTACCAAGATAAAAAACTAGATTATTGCTATCTAACAACAAGGTAACCATCTACTTCACTTTGTTTTGAACAAGAATGTTTTCTTAAATCAAACACAGTATATTATGAATAAAATATTTCTATATGCAGACATTTTACATGCTCAAGATAACTTTTACTCCTTCCAAAACACTTTGAGCAGTCATTCGACATCGGTAAAACCCAACGTAACACTCTAGAGAATATTTTTCTAAAAGCTAGATAATCTTAATTAAATAACTGGTGTCACTCATTCTTCTTTAATGAATTTGAGTTAAAAATGCTTTTTATTTACATTTTAAGGTATGAAATTTTAACTATGAAAACTATGGCGAATTCTCTATCTAAAGTATTAATGTTAGGCAGTCAGGAGAAAGATTTTAAAAATCACCGGTTTCAGTATGAAGTTTTCTCCTAACTACTAGTTGAAATTAAGTCTTCAACTTTAAATAAATTAGCAAAGACTCAGAGATATGAATCCTCATCACCTAACCATTTATTGAAAATCATTGTGACTAAAACATTTAGGTAGAGGTTGATATACCTAAAAGCCATTGAGTTGCAACCAGTGCGCCAATGTAATTCTCCTGAACAAGATTACAATGGTTCTATCAAGTCTTAGCAAACAACAAATACGCCTGAAGAGAATTATTTTCAATCCCTCACCATCCCACATCAAATAAAGTGCCCTGGATATAGATTAATTTAGTTGCTAACATGTAAATGCAGCACGATTTGTTTGTAGTCGATGTCTAGAGAAAAAAATTAAGTATTACTAAAAGTTTAAAGGTAGATTCTCTTAGGAACTAGAAGTGAACTATCAGCCATTTGTACGGTCACATTTGCGTTAAAATCTGCAATTTATTTTAACTAACAAGATTTGCAATTTAGATCAATCTATGTGATTATGGAATTTACCGACCTAGGACTTTGTTGAAACGTCAATATATGATAACAAGTGATTGTTTGAGTACGTAAATGCTAGATTATCTTAATTTAAAGAGAATGTTTATCAGTTGCTTTATATAAACCTAAAGGAAACTGAATTTATCAGATTTGCAAAACTGGTAGGTTGTCAGAAAAATTCCATAGTTAAATTTTCTTTCCCGTGGTAAAATTGATATAAATCTTTCAATATGTACCAGGATTTATAAAGTAGGGATAATCATGTTACATAATGATCTGTTCATATCTTAAGATGGAGATCATTTAGCTATTCGATGATTTATATGAGAGCTATTAGATATATAAACTTAGTAAAACAGGAATAATTTTTATGTTTTATTTGCACCACTTTTTGTAGGTTTACCCATCATCTTAACAGTTTTATAACTAACAGTTTCAGTCTCCCATTTCTAGTTTGTATTCAAATTAAGGTACTAGAAATATCAAATTTTGCGGAATGAATCTAGTTGGCTACTTTTATTTTGTTGGTAGAAATGTTACCACATCTGTTGTTAACACCTTATTCAAATATTCATTTATTTTAATATTTATTTGTCCCTAAACAAAAAGATGTTTTATTAGTTAGAGAAGAACTAGTAAATGGACTAAGAACTTACGAAGTTTTTAAAATCATTTTTTAAATTCTAAAATAAGATAAAACTTATTATACAAGAATACAGAAATAAAAAGGTAAGAAAAAAGAGCACTGATCGTATCGAATAACCAAGTTAAGGTCACAAAGTTCTACTTAGTGTTCGTTTATTTTGATTCGCTTTATTTCGGAACATCAAAAAGTATATTTAGGTTATTGATCTGCTAGAATATTTTACTCCCTTAACACTCATAGTTTATCGTTTTCCTTCATATAAATAGTAGATAGTAAATAACTACTTTTAAATTTATGTTTGATTACAAAATTTTCTATCAACTTCTATTTATTGGTCAAGTGGTAATAGTTTGAAACTGAATTCCTTAAAAAATGAAACTCTTCAGGATAAGATACGTCGTCGTTGTTGATTTATTGTCTAGTAAATTAAGCGTATGGTTCGTATTAAGAAGTTAATGAAGTCATTGTGTAGGACGGTAAAACTGCGAATGTGGCAATTACTATCACATTCGATCTTTAATTCTCCTCTATGACACAATTTTCAAAAACTTTATGAATAAATCAAAGATCACTTCGTGAGAACCAGTACTGATTAAAATCAACCAGTAATAAACATGGTTAACCAGTAATTCAATTGTCATTTTCGTATGTAACTACTGGATATAATTACCTGATGTGAACCTAGAAGAAGTCCTAAAATCAAGTTCTTCTTTTTTTAAAGGAGGGTTTGCTTCAGCTCGGACAATAATCTCTATTGTTTATAAAAGAATAATATGTTTTGTGGTATTTACAGAAAGCATAGCTGACCATACGATACTTGAATTAGGTATCGTAAGTCATGAACAATCGACACTCTTGTGATAGTTTTCTGTATGTTTTTTTCTCAATATTTGAGCAAGATTCCGAATCAGAAATATTCCCCTTTTTCAATGAATATGATTTCGATATCCTCAACTTGAAATTCAAAAGTCCGAAAACAGGAGGTAACTGTGTTTATTGCACTTGTAATGAAAAAGCTAGAAAAGGGAAGCTTTAGTGTCAAGGTCTATCAAGTTCTATTAGATTTGTCAGTTTAGCTTCGCTAATGATGCGAACTTTAAGAATTCCAAAAGCTTATACTTTGGTATAAACCTCTATAGAAAATTGTTAGTTTTGTCTTGGATAATCTATATAGATCATTTTCGGAAAATAGAGTGTACTATGTGCCTGTTAAGCATGTCATACAGATGGGAACTTTTAAAGACGATTACAGAGCTAAATGATCCGGGTTGTTATGAATCTACGTTCATACCAGTGTATTATTCATTCTCCTAAATTTCTAGATTATAAGCACTTTTTCAAACTAACCATTTAAAAAATGAATACGCTTCATGTCTTAGGAAGTTAAATAGCAACGGACGCTCTGAAATCACCATGTATCTTGCTCCAAAATAAATATTAAAACAGGATTTATTTGATAATACACATGACTACATTTCAAAAGTTGATTTCAGAAACATTTGCTAGAACGAACGTTCTTGTTACGTAAGGTAGTTCCACACTATAATCTCCTCATGAAGAATGAAATGTCACATTTGATCAATACCCGTATAGCTGTCCTTCTGAAGTCTGGTATGTAAGCCGCTCAATAAAGAATACCTCTATCTTAAAGTGAAGCATTCATCGGTATTAATCACCAAAAGACAACATATTATTCGCATTATTTATGATACAGTACTCATCAAATTACCGATTTTCCTTTGATAGCACCCATAGAGCTGAGTTATCTATTTCCTATAACTTACGTCAAGATTAAATATGCATTGCAAGAGTTTTAGCCAATAGTAGTCATAAGCCAAATTCATGCACACAGATGCTATATGATACAGCTTTTCCTCTAACATATCTCTTGAGTTGTGAAATGTTTTACTATTAGATGTGTGTACAAATGTCAGGATTTTTTTCTCACAATGTCCGTGATTATCATTAACGCAAAATGAATTTTATTCCAACATTAAGAATAATTGTAGGGTCAGTTACTATATAAACCCTAACAACTAAATATTTCTTACTTTTCATAAACCTCTCCCAAATTGTTTATCCAACAAAACTATATTTTTGATTAATTCTAATCATAAATTACTATGATAATTAGTTAACAAGAATTTCAGGATGAAATATACTGAGAATTAATCTTAAATACAAAATCTTGATTCAGATAACTTGTAAAATTAATAAACTGCAAAGGATCTTGCTTTTAACATACTGACGCTTACTAAATTACATAACCAGCTTTCGATGTTAAATTAATCTTATTTAATATAAATCGCTGTTCTCACAAAGCCATAGTACCCACTTCAAGAATTGGGTCGTCTGTTTCTGAGTAACGTGGTTACTGGCAAACCACTAAATGTGAATTAAACGGGAACAGTTATCCAATTTAAGTGTGGTTTTAGATGTATAACCAGTATACCTAATTTACAGGATATTCAATTTCAGAATTACCTGTATGATTAAGGGAACTAAAATTCTTGAGAAACTTTTCTGGAAGTTTGAAGACACTATAAAATTATTGTTGTATTTCTTTCGTAACTTTATTTCGTTTTTTCGGCAACGAGTAATTATCTTAACAGTAATTGTTATATTTATGCAAACGATTACCCATCCGGTTAATTCTCTAAATATTTACTAATAGTGTTCGAGTTGTGGAGAGGATACAACTCATGGTATTTCTTGTTAAAGAATTAATCAGGAAAGAAGAATCGATTAGAAATACCTGATTTTTAAAGATATCTGACACAAAAAACCCATATTGTTCAGTACATATATTATAAATAAATATTATTTTACTACATAACATCAAAATTTTTTACGTAGTCTCTGATATTGTGCATCTAAAGTGTGCATCAATCAGACACGTAAAGCAATTAGAATAAATAAGTTTCAATTTGCATCTTTTATGTCTTATTTAATTATTTAAAAAGTCTACACAGTGCCGATATGACAGAACAGTAGTATTACATCATATTTTTACTACCACAGATTCATCAGACCATTTATTAGATGAATATGAATTATCCAGTGTTACATTGAATGTAGTTTTCAACACTGAGTCAGTGACAGTGGCTGATAACTGGAAAAAAGAAAAAAAAGAACAGTCATATACTGAATGACATGTTTCTATATCAAATTACAATTTAAATATTGAATGGAGTAGAGTCACACCGCATTATTACTACCTAAAAAGTGAATATGAATTTTTAGCGCCTGATACAGAAAACCTAAACCAATTAATGATACTTAGTTAAAAAATAAACAACACGTATTTCCATTCACAGTAACAGGAAAATATCTAGCCATACTTTAAATTTTGCACTAGTTACTTTCAAAAGCTCTTCCAGTCATATCAATCAAAAAATTTGAGCCTGAGATAACTGATGAAACGGGAAAGTAATTGTGGACAGAAAATTATTCAGGCGGTGCCTTTGAATTGATGAAAATACTAGAAGAGAACGCCGCGTTTGACTATTATATATTTATGCAATTAACAAGTACCCTTTTATACAATAACAAAAAAAACTCTCGGATAAAGTTTCCTTTTTTATTTGACTTGACATTTAATCTTTATAAAAATTCCATTAATTCATATCCTAAAATATCCAGCTTTTTATTTGTATGAAAAAGGAATGTAAACAGTGAGATTGTACTAACATATATATCCGATAAAACAGATAATACAAATGAATGTTCGCTTATTTTTACATTCACATTTATGCCCAACGACAAACTATATTGCTGTTGAACAGAAATTGAGTATAACAATGATCATACCAGTAGTAGAATAATAATACATTGTTTAACTAAAGTCATCAACTAGTCAAGATAATAGACGAAACTATTTCAAAAATCAATATTTATAAAACATTTACAGGGTAAAATTGTTACAAAATATTATGAGAATGATTACATAAAAGAGGACATTTAGCGATATTTGTTAAAAATGAACAAAAATCTTGATATTAATAAGGCTTGTTATATATTTATAATAGTTAGCCATTTCATACACAACGTTAAGTACCTAAATTTCAAATCATTCTTCCATATATGTGCGAACAGGATTTTGAATTCCAGAAACAGATTGAAGCAAAACGACAGTTATTGGGGCTTAGTTACTAAGCCGATCAAATTTAGAAACTGGTGAAACAATATATATGGGCTTGAAAAATAGAGGTAACAAAGTAAGAATTCCACTTGGTCGAAATAAGTAGTATCGAAATCGTTTTCAACTTCCATGTTTTCATTTTTACTGATAGTGCGATATTTTACGTAAACTTATGACAAATCAAATTAAAGTGGATGTTTGATTATAATTCCTTAAAAAAACTTGTACCAGATTGCCAGGCGAAACGTTGGATTTACTACAAATTCATTCGCTGAGATTTTACAAATATATATTATTCCTATTTAATGTCTTACATCAACTCGGCGCTCAAATACTGTGAAACTATTCGCTCTAATTTAGACAAGAGTTCTTATACAAATTAAAGTAATTTGAAAACTTGTGGCTTTTCAAACATAAATTTGACGTGTCAAGTTATGTACCTTATATTCCTAATAAAATTGGAACACTCAAAGTCTCTCTAAATCACTGGCACCAGCTAAAAATTTGTGTTTGTTCAATGAGTCATTTCGTAAAGAAAAAAACCTAAAATTCGTGAATCATCTTTCAAGACTGCTTGATTGGATTACAAAGATATACAGAAATAATAAAATAAATAATACCCATAAGAGACCTCAACTGTGGTCTCTAAAGTACATTATAAAAGCAATTTTATTAATGGCTAGGGATGAAAGCTTTCACTATTTTTTAAAAGTGAATTAAAGTCGGTGCCTATGAATTCTAGTCTGTTGTTGTCTAGCCACAAACAATCGACTTAGTTGTTCCTTCAACTAAAAGGTAAAAATACTTTGGCAAGTATATTTGGCCTGCTTACAACATTTTTCTTTAGGTCAGAATGATACAAGAGTCCCATACTATCACAATTATAATCATGCTTCATTCACTAGAAAAGCGGACATACTAGGTGAAAAAGTATGTATCAGAACTTTCAGTCTTACTAGTTTTGAACACACGTGTTATGTTAGAAATTTTAAACATACTACCTTTTGTTAAAATGAAAAGATTCGACTTGATAGTCTTGATTTTCACTACTTGCTTAAGTAATTCTTGTTACGTAATGCTGTTATTTTTAATGATGAAATACGCAAAATTATCATGTGTCATCGAAGACGTGCCTTCACATTTATTTTAATGACGACAGTGATCCAACATATTAGTACATATTTAATCTACTGGGACCTGCTATATTGAATTACATGGGTTTACTGGAATTATATGCTCACAATTATTTGCATCCATTGTGTTTAGTTCAGAAAACCCACAGAATCTAAAAATATATTTTTTTCCAAATAAACAATGTCAATTGCTCTACTTCTTAATTTAGTGGACAAATAATATTTTGATGAATTCAAATCTAGTTTTATGGGCGAGCTAAGGGCCATTAAGTAATGAGAAACTTTTATACTATTTGTCTAATATGGCTTTATTTCTGTCAAGTTCTTTTGCCTGATAAAACTTATCCAACTCTTAAGTGTATAATGTAGTAAAGCAGAACCATTTTAGTTATTTCAGGACTAGTATTTATCCGATTCGGTGAATGAAGACGGTGTCTAATTAAATGTACTGTGTGTATAAATACAGAAATAGCATTAAATATTAAAACATTACTATAATAAAACAGCAAGCCGACTACAAAAATTTCCACTGGCGACATCTGAGTATATCTGACCCATATTTACATAATATTTAATGTATTTTAATCATTTATAAATAATACTTCTGTATGTTGTATCAATATCATCCATTAGAATAAACTTAAACATTGAAAAATGTATATTTTAGTGAATAGTGAAAGTAAAGTTTCAACGAATTTACATATATGGGTGGTCCATTAGACCATATGATTAATTTGATATTGTTTTAAATAAAATGAGTTGAATTACATTTTTGACTTAAAAATGGAATTTAAAGATTGGTTTTAATTAACGCGTTTTATGCAACAAGTATTTTTATGGATATTATTAAATTTTAGTAATTCTGGAAGAAGAACTAGCGAATTGATCAAAACATCGTTTATACATCAACAGATTGTGTCAGCATGTAAAACATTATTAAAAGTGAAAAATTCATTTTCATCACAGCGGTTGACTTAAATAAAAATATTGTATCTATTTAAAGTGCTCAGATTAACAGTTAGACAATATACACTATAGTGGAGTCACTAATTAATTACCCTTAACTTTCTTTCACTCTGCTTTAAGTTAAGGCGAGATCATATACTAAGGCTGACATGCGTCAATTAGCCGTGTTCAAACATTTTCCAGTAAACGCAAAATTATTAAATATCAAAGTGAAAATTGAACAAAAGATAATTGTGCATCATTAAAGAAATTTTGACCAGACAAAAAACCGGTAACTTTTCATAGGACCGTAATAGCGTATAAATAATTCATATAAAATTAACTTTTTAAGTACTGCAGATGGATTTATATTCTGTAAAAAGAAATTAACGAAACAATAATTGACAAAACTTTAACTCACAAAAAATTGATCTGATAGATTATAAATAACTAATGTACACAAAGGTTATAAAAGATCGGCTCTTTCTATTAATAAACTTATAAACTAAGGATAAACTCATGTCTTGCAAATTGAATAATAATAACGCCAATTAAAACAGATTAGAGACAGGAAAGGTCCCGAATAGAGAAAGTGAATTAGTACAACGTTAATTTGTTACCTTTGGGACTTCCTATTGACTATGTATATGATATTAATACAGCTAACCAATAAATGTATTCAGAAAATGCCAATGACGAGACTAAATGAGCTACAAGATATTTTGTAAAATAGTAGTCCAGAATTATATTTGTGCAAATACATTTTTTATAATTGTGAGCGAACATCAGAATATACTGTCAAAATAGCTTTTTTACGATGAATCCTAATTATTTTAGTTGTGGGCTTCTGAATATATTTTTATAAAGAACTAACTAAAAATCCACTGATTCCATGCAGCGCAACAGGATAAAGATTTGTTTGTGAGACTAAGTGCTTTTTTAAATAAATGGAATTAATCGAAAAAATATAGATTCTTTGGTCGAATAAGTTTAAGTAACATGTGTTTATAACGATTATATTAAGAAGTATCACTTAAGGGACTGTAGTCTGAAATTTGGTAGTTCTAATATAGATTATAAAAGATTTGTTTTTATCCGTCTCATCAGAATGAACTATCTCTTGTGTAATTAACAAGGATAAAACGACGCACAGTTTTCTTTTAAATTCATGTTAGAATACGACTGCCTATATTGACCCACTGTTAAATTATTCTATCACGTATTATCTGTTGAACGGACTTGGGTGATCGAGAATTCACCACAGCTTACATTGAGTCTACAGCCAATTATTGATCAAAAATTTCATTTCTTTTTAAACTCTTATCTAACTTAATACCAAAATGTCATCGGAATGTTAGTTTTCAGCTTTAGTTTCATGAAAAATTTAAAGGTCTACTAATTATTCCATCATTATAGATGATTCTTGGTAATCCATCGTTTAGCAGATGTATAGTTAACAATAGTCTGAAAATATCCAGACAAAAACAGAAAGAATTACACCATATGAACTTTCATTTACATGCTGGCATATTACTTAGACTCTATTATGATTAAAATGTTTGTTTTCTTTGTACTTTTCTATCTCCTGGTTTTTCCACCGGTGAGTAGACATTATTTCTGTCCATCACTTCTCCACAGAATAAGCAAGTCGTTTAGAATCAATGAAGAGATTTGTCAATATATATTCGGGTAATGAGAATCAATATTATTCAGAGGGATAAAACTGACAATGACCAACAGAAAATTGCATTGATAATTATTTTTGTGTTACATATTATTTCATCCATAATTCTCATTCAACTGTTATTGTCGCTTATTATTGCTTACATAATCACTTTTCTCTAACAATAATAAGTGAAGAATGATTCAATCGCGAAGAATAGAGAATACAAT